TTCTAGGTTTGGTTCAAAGTCTTGGAATGGATTTTTAACATCAAAATGACACATTTTAGGGAGTTTGTGCGAAAAACGGAATTTGACCATGCTAGGCCGTAAACTCCCTAAAATGTGTCATTTTGATGTTAAAAATCCATTCCAAGACTTTGAACCAAACCTAGAAAAATTCCCCTAAGTGTTTGAAGTCACTTTTGCCCATATTTGACCCCACCATGAGTTTACGGCCGTAAACTCATGGGGAATGGCTCTTGTGGCCTTAAAATCCCTAAAAGGACTTAGATTGATTGTTGGATAGGGACAATTGCTTCAAGTCACGATAACACTCCGATACAAGTGTTTGGAGGGACCCGGGTGGCGTTTAGGGACATGAATGATGCGAGGGACTTAGAAAATGAGTTGGGACTTCAAAGGAACACCCCCTTTTAGGGAGTTTACGGCCACAAGACCCATTCCCCATGATTTTACGGCCGTAAACTCATGGTGGGGTCAAATATGGGCAAAAGTGACTTCAAACACTTAGGGGAATTTTTCTAGGTTTGGTTCAAAGTCTTGGAATGGATTTTTAACATCAAAATGGCACATTTTAGGGAGTTTACGACCTAGCATGGTCTCATGTCCGTAAACTCCTATAAATCCATGAAAAGTTGTGTTTTTGGATCCCAAACTAATCACATGTGATTGCTAAAATTGTACCAAAGCCTTATATGCATTTGTTTGAAATTTTGAAGGGACTTTTGGAGTTTACGGCCAATGAGACCCCTTTCATGGCCGTAAACTCTCTTAAAGAGCAATTCCATGTGTTTTAATGCTAAAAACTTGTTTGTATGGACTTCTAAAATTCATTCCAAGGCTTTAGGGGTGGTTTAAGGACATTTTGACATGTGTTTATGAGTTTACGGCCAAAGGCTATGTGCTTAGGCTGTAAACTCCTAAATGTGATGCATTTGATGTGTTTTAGGTCTCCAAACCATTTTTAGATGATTCTAGGATTTACCACAAGGACATTGGTTGAGTTTCAGGGCATTTGGACATGTTTAAAGACACTTAATCCCCCATTTAGAGGAGTTTACGGCCCAAGCACATGCCTTGGCCGTAAACTCTTATTTGTCCCCCAAAAATGATGTTTCATGTGTCCAAATGTAAATATCTATGTTCTATAATTCATAACTAAGACATATGAGTGGTTTGGAAGGGTTTAAGGGCATGAAAACCCTAGATATATGAGTTTACGGCCCAAGAATGATCCTTGGCCGTAAACTCCTTCAAACATCAAAAAGTTCATGTTTTAATTATTTAGAGTCCATATCTTGAAGCCATTTAGCCATATCTAAGTCCCAAACTTGTCAAGGAGGGGTTTAAGGGCTCAAAAACCCACTTATTGTGAGTTTACGGCCCATGAATGCTCCATGGCCGTAAACTCATGTATGTGGTCACAAATTATGTTTTGAATTCGAATTTGAAGGCTAAGAAGGTTACAATACAAGCTAAGGAATGTACCTTAGAGATTTGAAGCCTTAAATTTGAGTTTTGGACCCTTAAACTTGGATTTAGGAGAGCGGTTAGAGAGAGAGTAGAAAGAGAAGGAAAAAGCTTCAAATGGATGCTAGAACACGTTTATATAGGTCCTAAAACTTGTACGCGGTGGAATTCTACCCGATACCGGTGTTAAACGCGGCTTTTGGTCGCACCCGATTGGAATTCTACCCGATACCGGCGTTAAACGCGGCTTTTGGTCGCACTCGATTAAGTTTCCGTCACTCGGCGGGGACATTTCTAAAACTTATGAAATAATTATTTTCGGGCTAGTTACGTGAGTTCCTGAGTGATTTAGACACTCATTAAATTATAATAAACATATAAGTTTAAATAATTTGACCCAAAGTGTAAACGGAACGGATTTGATAACGGCGACTTTTCGGGTAGAACGGGTTTTGGCAACGAACAATTTCGGGTTGTTACAGAACCGTACCTTGAAAGAAATGGTCAATGCCATGATAATTAGTTCGGGTGTAAACCGGTCAATGTGGGGGGAAGCTATTTTGTTGGCTAACTATCTTCTAAATAAGATACCTCACAAAGAAAAGAATGAAACACTGTATGAACTTTAGATGGGAAAAAATCCATCATATAAGTACTTACGAGTGTGGGGGTGCCTAGCTAAAGTTGTAGTACCATCGCCTAAGGTACAAAAGTTAGGGCCTAAAACAGTGGATTGTGTTTTCATTGGATATGCACAAAGTAGTAGTGCTTATCGGTTCCTTGTGCATGATTCTAAGAATCCTGAAATACACAAGAATACTATAATGGAATCAAGGAATGCGTTATTCTTTGAAGATGTGTTTCCTTGTTTGAACATGGAAGTTGAAAGCCCATCTTTACCAAATAACAAAGCTGTTTAAGAGGAAGAACAAGCTCAAACACACTATGTGGATAAAATTCTTGAAAATTTTGCGAAAGGAGACACTAGCATAGCTAGAACTCTAATTGACACTAGTCGACATCTACGTAAAAATAGAGGTGATAGTGTTAATCAAGTGGAATACTCAAGAATTATTGGCAGTCTGATGTATCTAACGATTTGTACCAGACTTGACCTAACATATGCTGTGAGCAGACTAAGTAGATACACTAATAAACACAGTTCTGAACACTGGAAGAGTATTACTAGTTTGCTAAGGTATGTGAGATACACGCGAGAATATGGACTGCATTATGGAAGACATCCAGCAGTTATCGAAGGATACACAAATGCAAATTGGATATCTGACATAAAAGATTCCAGATCTACAAGTGGATACACTTGGAGGTGCTGCTGTAGCGTGGAAATCATCCAAGCAAACGGTTATATCTAGATCCACGATGGAATCTAAATTTATCGCCTTAGATATTTGTGTTGAAGAGGTGGAGTGGCTACGTCAATATGTAAAGGACATTCCCGAATGGCCCAAGCCGGTAACGGCCATATATATACATTGTGATAACCAATTTGCAATTGGTAGAGCTCAAAGTACAATGTATAATAAGAAATCAAGGCACATTAGACGTAGACCTAAAATGATACCACAACTAATCTCTACGGGGGTTATCACGGTTGACTGGGTGAAGTCAAAGGATAACATCGCGGATCCGCTTACCAAAGGCTTGAGTAGAGATGTAGTCTATAAGTCGTCAAGAGGAATGGGACTAAAGCCCATGAATGAGTAAATTCATACGAAGGAAACCTTACCCAGAAGACTGGAGATCCCAAGATCTGGGTTCAAAAGGATAACCTAACTGTATGAGTGAGGCATGTCACTGTGGGGGAGTTAACATTACTTCCTAGTCCATTCCTAGATGTAGTGACAAAACTAGGCTAAACATATGGTTTTTAATGATTCTTGGAATCACCTATGTGAGAGAGAAGTAGGGTCGTTTCGATGGGAGTTATAGGGGCACAATTCCTAAAGCTCTTGCAGAACTAGGCTAGTGTTCATGACCAAAACGAACACGTCTATGAGGATATGACTTTGCCAGAGAGAATTCTATGAGATTTACATTGTCGTCTACATAAATGGCAGCTTAGTTCAAAGACATCGAGATCTACTAACTGCTAGGAGATTAAGTGCAACTTCTTAAGGGAGGGTTCAAAGGGTAATACCTACCAATCCTATGCATGATTCAACTGTTGAAAATTTCGTTTGGAAATTGGATGTGCAGAGATCGATATTCATTCATGCGGGGGATTGTTGGAAAATTTAGTATAAATATTTATATTTTTACTAACTTATGTATAAATATATACATATGTTGTATATATAACTAACTCTAAGTGATTTTGTGTTCTCCTCCACGAGGACTTCAAAACGATATATTATATGTCCAAAATAGAGTATATGTGAATGAGATATCGATACTCAAAGATGGGTATTTGATAATAAATTTAGCAAAAAGAGAGGAATGTAAGAATGATTCCCACATTGGTAGAAAGACCAAACCAAATAAGGTTTATAAGCTTGAATGCATAAAAGACTTACAAGTTTGTGTCTATAGTTATGCTACAATTCCTACCCGCGTGCAGGGGGTGCAAATCTTGGATTTCGTAGACCAAAAACACCAAACTCGTGCATGGGCGTGACCTGCGGATACGAATGCAACTCCGAAAACTTGAGTACGCGCTACCCTATTTTTTTGAATTCTGTAACGGATGCTTTAATTGCGTAATTAATGACATTTATTGACATTAAACACTCAATCAATTAGTGATTTGTTTCCATTACACGATTCAACTATAAAAGAAGACTTTGCCGTCTCATTATTACACGATTTAACTATAAAAGAAGACCTTGCCGTCTCATAGCACACGAATGAAAATACTCTTCTTCTTCCTCCTTCTCTGCACTCCTGCACTCCGGCTTCCGGCAATTCTTTCAGACAAGTGGTAATATCCAGCAGTACACAATACTGTTAATGTTGTTGTACCCTAGGAACAGACGGTGAATCTGTTTAAGAGAATCGAGTCCAACTCAAGCCTCAGCCACTGCGTTTGCTTCTAATCTTTTCTTTACAGGAACCTTTCAAAGGAGAAAAACGAAGATATTACACTAACGTGAAACATATCACTTTAATGGGAATTTCTTTTTACCAAACTAATTCACCATTGTCGATTGAATAGCTGGAATCCCATTTTTTTATCAGAGCACCAATATCAAATTTTACATTTAGTTACGATAATATTTTTAATATAATTAATACTTTTTATATGTATTTTTAAGGTACATATTAGAAAATCATTTTTTTTGTTATACCAAACATTGTTTTTTGTTATACTAAACATTGGAATCAGTTCATTTTCACTAGTTTAATTTTTTTTCTTTTCATTTATTTTTTCTATTTCAATTTCATTTCTCTGTATCAAATGTACCTTAAGTATCCTTATATTAAAATTCCAATTCTGCCCTGTAAAAATATATTTATAAAATAGAAATTCGACAATAATGTATCTCAATAGCTAAAAATGACACACAATTCAGGCGTCACCGAAGAAATAAATGTCATGCGTTCCATAGGTTTGACGTGCGACGATACCACATTTTTCTTTTAAATTTAAGTACAACAAGTTTAGGGTGCGTTACAGTAAACATCACAAACTGTAAGGTGCACATCTGGCTATCTTTCATCTGATATTCCCTATATATATTCTGTAAAAAAGGAAAAACAAAATTTGTATCGAAATTTTCTGAAGAAAATCTTAGCAATTGAAGCAAACAAAGATGCCTTTGAAAATGGTGGACGCAACCTTATCGACCTTCAACACCGTTTTCGAGAAATTCAAATCCGAAGCACCAAACAACAAAAGCAATCTCATCTTGTTCTTGGCTGATATCGAACCTTCCACTAATCTCAGTTGGTGCCCTGGTAATTTCCTTTATTCAGTTCGTTAGATTTGTATCTGTTTGTCGATCATACCTCATTGATCCGCGTTTCTGTTTTTCCCTTTAATTGTGATCGCAAAATAATGTATGGAATTCGAACTTGATCGGGGTTTTGCTATCGACTTGATCGTTGCAAAGTTTAATGTAAAAATTGAATGAGTTGATACTAATTTTGGAATTAAATCATCTTTCTACTGCTCTTTGATGAGTATGTTGGAGAAGTTTTGCTGGATATTGAAGGGCCTATTTTATCCTGGTCGAGTACAAAGTTGAACTCAAAACATATAACAAATTGAATTCGAGTTTGGATGAATTTGACCCTAATTCTTATCAACCTTTTTGTAAGTGGAAATATATTTGTTTGGAACTCAATTTATTGATTGATTGATACTACTTCTTGTGTCATCTTTTCACTTGCTTTGTCATTAGATTGTGTGCGAGCTGAACCAGTTATATACAAAAAACTGGAATCATCAAGTGATGACGTGGCGCTCCTTAGGGCTTATGTGGGAGACAGACCCACGTGGAGGAACCCACAGCACCCATGGAGGGTGGACTCCAAGTTCAAGCTAAAAGGAGTCCCGACTCTAATCCTTTGGGAAAATGGTGAGGTTAAAGGTCGCCTTGAAGACCATGAAGCCCATATTGAACGCAAGATTGATGCCCTAATTGCTACCAAATAACCATATGATATCTTCTAAGTGTTTCCAATAAGGTTTTAATTACTTGACTAATTATATGTTTAGACTCTTCGATGAAGGTAATAATAATGTATTGAGGTTATGATATCCAATTAATGTGCTAAATCGAGGGTTTGAAAGTTTTATCCACAATAGCATTGTGCTTTTTAAGCATCGAGGTTTAATAAGAAATGAAAGTAAGATGCTATATCAAACAATAAAATGAAAGCTTATTCCTATTTCTTGCGTTTGGCCTTTGATTGGGCTAAATGCAAGAATAAGCAAAGCACTTTCATTTTGTTATCTAATATAGCATCATACTTTCATTTAATCCTCTTTTACTTTAATGTCTATTGTGCTAGAATTAGGTACATTGCTATTAAGCTCATCGTACTTTGAAAGTACAAACAATGCTAGAATTCAAAGAATACGTTTATTTTTTTTTTGGAAAATGAACTTCCCTATCGAGGGTTTCGGGCCAACTTTCGCGCACCGACTAATCCCCTGCTACAAACATGGGCCTATGCCTCATGCCCTGGAGACGAGCCTCCATGGCCACAAGGGCTGAGTAGTGTCAAGATTTGAACATGAATCAATAGGTTATCCACTATATCTTTCATATGTCTTACCAAGTTACTACAACCTACGTGTTAAAGTATATGTTCATGTTCAACCTGTAAACATCACATAAATTCTCTACTTGCTTAATTATGTTCTTTTTTATCACGAATCTTGAAATAAGATGCAAAAACAAATATCAAATTGTTGTGTCCACCAACACTACCGTGTAACTTTAGCTTTCTTTTAGATTAGATTCCTCTCTATTAACAAACCAAAAAAACAACATTACAAATTTACAACCATCATCCATCAAGATTTTAAGATAAAAAATAAAATCAAATAGAGTTGCTTACTTGATAGTAGCTTTGATCTGATGGGTGTGTCTCAAGATTTCAGTTGCTTACTTGATAGTAGCTTTGATCTCATAGGTATGTCTCAAGATTTCAAGTTGTTTTCTTGAAATACGATTGGTTTGGTAGATAAATTCGTGTAGTAGTATGATTGACATTTGGATGATGCTTTTATTAGTTAACAACAATACTATAACATCCTATGAAGATGACTAACCAAAACCATTTTATTTAGGTTGTGTTTGGCGCGCCACAGCTAACTGATTTTTTGAGGTTTTTTAAGTTGTCATGTTTGACAAGCAAAAAAGTAGCTTATAAGCTAGCTTATACTTGCTTTTTAGGATCCTTTTTAAAATTTTTTAAATATACCCATTAATTAGTTATAAAAACACATTCTTTTAAATGTTTCTTTATGTCATTTCATATTTTTCAGCTAGTTTTATCAAACGTTATTTTTTATTAGCTAGCTTTTCAGTTATCAGCTAGTTTTTTATTTAACAGCTAATTTTTCAGCTATCAACTAACTTTTTAGCTAACAAGTAATTTTTCAGCCAGGACGCCAAACATAGTCTTAAACAAAGATGTTGAAGAAAATGAATTGACAATAGTGTATATATGCTTTAGTTGTAAATTAAAACGCAAGTAAAATTATAATAATTTAATGTTATAAAACAATATTGTAATTTAAGTAAAATAATAAACAAAAACTTTATATCATTTAAAGCACATATATAAAATGAGATGTTGGAAGCTTTTTTTTTCTTTTCTTTTCAACGATGGAATGAGAAAAAACTCGTGTGAAGTATGTTTGTTTGGATGGAGTGACAAATAAATGAAATGATGAATGCATCAAATATATAAATTATGTAATAAAAGAATTCACTAACGAGTCAATAGTCAATACGGTTCATGATCATGTTTAGTTAATATGTAAAAGTTGAATGGATTTTCATGAGCTCATAATATTATATATAAATAGAATGTATATTTAAGACATTGTTATGCCGTTATTATGTAATAAAATAATTCATTAACGAGTCAATACTCAATACAGTTCATGATCATGTTTAGTTAATATGTAAAAATGGAATGGATTTTCATATGATTTCATAATATTATATATATATATATATATATATATATATATATATATATATATATATATATATATATATGTATATTTAAGACATCATTATGCAGTTATTATGTAATAAAGTAAGAGAAATTAAATATTTTCTTACCTTTTGTTCCTACATATGAACTTATCCAATTAAATAATGATATATGTAACATTTAATGCTCATTTAATAAAATTTAATTATATTTTATGATACTAATATGATACGTATTATCATTTAAACGGATAGGAGGATTGATATGAGCAAAAGATAAGAAGATATTTAATTTCTCATAAAGTAATTCATTGACGAGTCAATAGTCAATACGGTTCATGATCATGTTTAGTTAATATGTAAAAATTGAATGGATTTTGATATGAATTCATAATATTATATATAAATAGAACATATATTTAAGACAGTGTTACTATTATGCAGTTATTTAGTTATAACTTTGAATACCAATTGAATGGAATGGAATGAACGATTTTTCTTTTTTTCTTTTTTTTTTTTAGTTTTTGGATTCCATCATACCAAATATCACCTTCTCCTATGAATACAAATTAACAAGAGTAAGAGAATCACATCTATCTTTTCAACAACAAACTATTTTATTCCTTCAAACAAAACAAAAACAAATAGTTCCTTTTTCATTTCAATGTTTCCATTATACCAAATACTATTCAAATTTCAAGTTCAATTGTGTTTCATATTAGATATTACATGATCAATTCTTTATCTGTTCATATAAAACCCAAATCACAACACCAATAATCGTGTCTCTGATCAAGTTCTTAACGATGGTATCAACCCATGATGATGATGATGATGATGATCCATTGACTGAAGAAGCCCTATCTCCCACAAGATCACGAAACCTCAAGTCTCCAAGATCAGAAATCAGTGCATAAATCACACCATTAAGATGCCCTCTCCCAATAACCCCTACAACTCTCTTACTATCTCTTACAGCTTTACTTCGCTTCAAAGACCAAGCAATATACTGAACAAGAAAACAGGACATAAATCACAAAACAAACTGTCTTCTATCAACAAGACTCACCTCCAAAAAAAAATTTTAAAAAAACTTACAGTGTCACGTTCATGGATCAAAGGTTGCAGCAATGAGGGATATGAAAAACTCAATTGCTCGTATAGTTGAAAGTTGCTGTCATCTGCGGTTGATTCCTGGAACATGGGGTTAAAAAGATGATTGTTATTAATTATTTGTGATTATAAAACTGGTAGATAGATGGATAGATATGGAACCTTGAAGTTTATCTTGGATTGATCCGATGATGAAGTTATTCCACCAAGAACTGAGATAACAAGGCTTAGTTTTTCCTTCCATGTAAGAGAGTTCCAGGCCCTTTCGAGCTTAAATAAGAAACAAAATTTTATGATAGACAAACAGAATGATTAATAAGTAAAAGATCAAATGGATAGAGATGCATACTGTTATTTCAATAGGCCGATCTCCTAATACCACTTGTGCACTAATTTCTTCGGATGCTTTTCTTGCAGCGCGAAACTAACATAAAATTTGTCAATTAAGAGCGTGAAAAGTTTGAAGATGGTTCTTGTAACTATCTATTGTCTAAATTGTATACCTCGTCACCAAAAGGGCGATTGATGTTTGAGGAAATCTTGGAAGAGAATGTGGCCAACAGTAGACGTAGTGCTAGAGCTGTTTGACCACCTGTTAGGCCGGAAAACATGGTGAATTTGGTTTTTAGCGAAGTAATAGATGAAATTGGATGTGTATGGAGATGGAGATGGTTACCTAGGTTGATGCTGCGACTAATGGCGCCAAGGAACCCTGAACCGGATAAGGAAAACGGATTGGACTTTAGCCTTGGTTCGATCTCAGTGTCTGTTGATGTGTACATGATTCCTGCTCTGAAAACGATCTCTGCAATAAGTCAAGTTAAGCCATGGATGGAACTAAATCCTGCTTTGCATTAAAGGAATTGTAGGATAAGATAGTGATCTGAAGTCGCCGACTGATTTCATAATAAAATTAACTTGGAACAGAACAAATTGATCAAAGAAAAAGGAACTAACAGCATCACATGTACCTGCTTCTACAAAGCTCGACGACGACATTGTCAGGTTTCACAGTCTGGACAACTCGTTCGACGTCGACAGCCGATTTTTCAGAAACATGATTCGTACCGAGTAACCAAATAGCCTCAGGCTCCACAAACTCGGTTCGCCATGCCGGAACAGGGCCAAACTGACTCTTTCTGATTACAACTAAGCTTCCTTCATCGGCTAAATCGAGCAATTCCGGGTGCATCTCAGCAATTATGGCTCTAGATCCGCTTAGGATTTCAGACTTGAAGTCGAACTCCGGTGGTGGTGGTTTTATTGAAACCTTCGTCCGAAAACAATGTGTGGGGGGTCGGATTATGCTGAAATTATTGGGGTTTGGAGAGAAAATTGGGAATGGAGATATTAGGAGTTCCATTTCGAATGGTTGGTTGGTTACGGTGGTTGGGGAAGATATATGATCTCCTTGTGTTGGCGTGTAGAAACCATAACCACCGGAAAATCCCACAAAAACTTCATCCTTTTTGAGTTAATATCGGATTACAATTTAATAAAAATTAAATGCCCACCATAATTCCATTTTTATTTTTTTGAGAGTTAAAAATAATAATCGAACTCTACGGCTCTCTACCATTTGTATTATCTACGATTGCAGAAATCGCTAATCGGTCGCTAATCGGTGGACTAACGATTAGATCCGATTTTAACCTGCATTGATCAAACCCGATTAGTTCCGGTTAGGATCGATTAATTTCGAATTTGACATGCATTGACCAAGTCTGATTATAGCGACCGATTAACAATAAATCTCATCAGTAGAGGTCTGATTACCGATTAAACGCTGATTAGGCCGATTTCTACAGCACTGCTATTATCATCTTTCTCGTATATTGTATTCCTCTTATCATCTTTCTTATATATCATTCTCATTAAAGTCTTATTATATCCGTATTATGTATGTCTTAAATATATGGTTTGGTACATCTATTTTGCATGTCTTAAATACGGTTTCGTAAATGTGTTATGTGTTGTTGGGATCATGTTTGGTTGAAGACTAAACTGCTCAAATGGTCCCTATGGTATGTCGAAAATTATCACTTTGGTCCAAAAAGGTTTAGACTAGCACCAGTGGTCCAAAACTTTCATTT